GAGTTTAGTGTTAAGCAAAGTTTCTGCATAGGTTTGCCAATATACTCAAACAAGTAATATACTCGCAGCGTAATTGAAAATGTGCGATAGTTTTCTTTGAATATACGCATAGCAGTCATATTTAACAAGTTAAGTAATCCATCTGCTTCTAATTCATTTAGCTTCTTTGGGTCTACACACCTAAAATTGTTTTACTCGTTGAATGTATAAATTTATCTGACACTCCCATTTGCATAACGTTTAATAATATCTATATATGTAAAAACTTATACTTTCCATTATGCTTAAATAACAATAAAATCAGTTATAAATATAGAATAATTAGTAATAATTAAAATAATTGGTAATCTAATATTTACCTTTTTTAATCATTTTGTTATGTCTCAAGATATATCTGTTTATTTTTAGCTTTAATTTATATCACTATTTCTATTTTATGTAACTGTTGAATTGTTGTAAAAAAGACTATTAACGAAATGATCGAATCCTGATTAAGTAATCAGTAATTTTCGCTAGAAAAACCATACATGATCATTATTATTCCATCGTGTTTGATACCGTGGAAACTGGTTTCTGCGAGGCGGATAAACTGTCGACTTTAAAAGGTAAAATGATTAAATAAAATTTATTTATAGCTTAGTATTAACAATAAAAATAATATTATGACAGTGAATCATTTTTCATCATTTTACTAAATCAAAAACGCTTGTAAAAATTGCAAAAAGTTAAGATTGATACTTCTGAACAATTTTTGTCAAGAAATTTTATCTATTTTTTATCTATTTTGAACTTATTATATTTTTCAATAGATTTAAAATATTTTTCAATTTAATAAAATTGAATGAGACATAAGGGAATAATACGTTAACTAAAATTTAATTTATAAAATATGTACATTTCTATGTAATTACACTAATTACGTACAATTTATTCGCATCACAAATTGAGAAAACATCGATGATTAATCCTTGCCAAATTCAACCAAGGTTCTCACAAAATTTACGTCTCTCCACTCATTCAGTCACTTTTATAATGTCAATCGGTGGGTAAAAGGAATGTATTATCGGATTTGTTGCAAAAGACAAATAGGTATTATAATTGCATCACAGAACTGTGAGAAGGACATCTCTAGGATATTGTTACGCCGGTCTAAGCGGCAATGTTACAGAATGACACATTCAGGAAAAAGATGAAATTGTCGTGATATAATGTATTTTATAATTATTTAACATTTTTTTCAATTTTAAATTTTGAATTTTATAATCTTATTAGAAAACGTTTCGTATGGTAGGAATTTCCATATTGAATCTATGTAATCAAGGTAACGTAAAATTATAAAAAATTAGATTTGAAAAAATAAGTGAAAATTATTCTCTTTATAAATTTTTGTAAATATACAGAATATATCAATTATACTGTTCACTGAAACTAACAATAAGCTCTACTGGACAATACACAGAACCAACCAAATAGAAATCAAACGACCGCGATGTATTCTTGCAACACGCTTCAAGTTAACATAAATATGTCGATATGAAAATATGTATAAATAGTGCAGTAAAATTTTTTTAGTGTTTGCATGATAAAGTATTTTTCTATTTATGATAAAGTCATTTAGAAGTAAATCTTACGTATATTATTTTATGTGTCTACATTCTATCTAATAATTGTAAATAAATAATTCAATTTATTAAATTCATTAATTTTTATTTTATTTATTATGAAAAATAACTTCTACTTCTTTTATTACTATCTTATGTTTTTTTCTCATAATGTTGTACACTCATACTTTTTATTCTAAAAGTATATGTATATGTTATTTCTTTGTATTGGTAGGTAATACCGGATTGACTTGTCTTTTTCCTGTTTTTCAATATCTTCTTATCTCGTAAATTTTTGCGGAATACACTAACTGGTTTATCCTTCGACCAATTACGTCAGAATCGGAGATTCCCACTTGACCAATCAAACGTTGATCAAAAACGAGCAGTGCTCACTTGACATATATTCTTGACGAATATCCACATTTATTCTTCCTTCTTTCCTTTCTTTTTTCTTATTTTGTCGCAAGTATGTTACAAGGCAAGGGCAGATTCTGTGTTATTAAAACTAATTCTGTTATTTATATTAAATGTTCAAAATTTATAATTAACGATTAATAAAAAATTGTAACGTAAAAAATTAAAAGTTATATTGATTGAAAATTAAATCTCGTATTGATTGTGTTGGAAGCATTTTTAAATGTATTATTGACATAAGAATAATAAATTTGCAAGATAGACCAATGACGATCATAGTAGAATCTTGATGCTTACTAAAACTTTATGTAATTGTGTTAAACACAACTGTATGCGGTCGGGTATATGTATAATGTTTGTAAGAATAATAAATTTGTATAATTGTCTTGTCACAACTTTGTGAATAATAAACTGAATAAATAATAAAATATCCATATTTAAAATATGCTGCGTTTTTCATTATACTTTATGTTTGATAAGTTACTGTTATTATAGACGCACTCTTATAATCGTATTTATCACAATTTTAACAGATGTATAAAATTCTGCAAATGATATAACGTAACAATTTAACTTGTAGTGTAATTTACGATATTGCTACTTGTTTTATATCTAGCGAAACTTCCTATACTGCAAAAACTACCGCAACGTCGTATCTTCGACGGAGTCATGACCCCATGTAAATAATATATGCTGTTAAGATCGCTCCCCACTCTCATCTTCCACTCTCTTCTCCTCTTCGTTTCTTCCTGCTCTTTTTATCTTTCTTCTTCCTTTCGCTGTAAAATTAAGAGGGAGAGAGAGACGCACGTAGATTCCACCGTCGTTAATCGTCGCAGCAGCTTATGTTCGTCGTCAAATGTCTTGACATCGAATATTCAATATCCTTGTGTGTCTCATATGTTTTTCTTAAACGATGGATTTTTGTTTCGGCTTAATTGCGATCTTCCTGATCACTGATGTGACCTCCGTCCGATATGCCACCACCACCGGTATGAAAAATTCGTTTAAAGTGTTATATACATTACTATTCATCATGTGGATTGTTCTGCGTTATTGAATATGGTTATTGCGCTGTTGTTGTGGTGATTATTATTTGCGATTATGAATGTGTTGATGTATTATTAAATCCAAAAAATGATGGGTGCATACTTAAGAATTAATGCATATAAAAAAATGTATAATATATTCATTAGTGATGTCTGTATCATTATAAAAGAAGTTTTTAAATTGTCTGATTCTATTATTTGCGTTTCCTTGAAAATTTTTCATCTTAAAATTTTTATATAAAGAAACTTAAATTCGAAAAATTTATATTGTATATTAATAGTCATATAAAAAAACAAATGTTATATATGTAGAGATTATAAATGTATAAGATAATATAAAGAAGATATTAATATAAAAAAAATATATATACCGTTATAAAGGAAGTTTCTAAATTCTTTGATTTTGTTATTTGCGTTTCCTTCAATTTTTCCATCCTAAATTTTAGAATAGGAAAATTTGAATGGAACGCAAATAACAAAATTCAGAGAAATTAGAAGGTTTAAAAACTTCTCTTATATAACAGTGTAGATATATCACTAGCTAATAATTAATGTATTATACATTCTTTATATACATTCTCTTGAATATCCACAGATCGTTCTTTGGATTTAATAATAATATCCACAATTACAAATAACAATTATCACAATAATAACGCATTACAGTAATATTCAACGCAATATATGTATTTTGAGTACAAATATTTAATTATTTAATCATAAAGTTTATACAATTATACAAATTTATTATCCTCATGTCAACAGTACACATAAAAAATGTTTCTAATAACACAATCAATAAAAAAATTAATTTTAATGTTTTGTTACAATTTTTTATTAATCGCTGATCATAAACATTCAATATATGACTAAATTTGTTTTGAAAACATAGAATATGTCGTTTCCCCGTACTTGGATAAAATTTAAAAAATATATTTAAATAGTTTATGTAAAGCCAAAAATTAAAGTTAAAGAAATTAAAATTAAAAATTATATATCTTTATAAAATCTTTATATAATTGTACACGTGTGTGTGTGTGTGTGTGTGTGTGTGTGTGTGTGTGTAGGTGCGCGCTACAATTATATAATTTATAAAGATATCTATCTCTAACTCTTGGCTTTATATATATTTAGATATATTTTTCAGATGGCTCTACGAAGAATTCAAACAAAGTTCACCTTAGTGCGGGCGTCGCAACTAATCCTTTTCTCCTATCGGCCATGAATCGTCAAACTCAAACCAATCAATTCCTGCATTCGTCAAACGAAACCAAAAATATAAACCTTATCTCACCAAATGCCGTTTCAACACAAGCTTCCAATATAGCCTTTTCTGGTGACTATAATTCCTCCCCTAATAATAATGGAAATCGTTTGGAAGCCTCTAAAACCGATTCAAAGAATACAGAATCTTCTAGTTCGCCAAGACCTATTACGCAAACATCTTATACACCATCACCTAATATACCAGTATTTGATACACCAGCAGCAGCTAATGATTTTACAACATCTCGTACAGCAACTTCTCCTAAATTTCATCCTCCACCCTCATACTCACCATCATTGCAAGAATTGATACCTCTGAAGATCAGTCCAGCGAGAACGATATCAGAACAGAGTAAGTAAAATGTGACTATGTATATTTCAAGAACTTGTAGAATTGAAAAATTTACAGATCAAAAAGTCTAAAAGAGTATTAAAACAATTACACATTGGTAATGTAACAGCAAATTCGGCGTTTAGACATTTGGCGAATGATTTCTAATTTGGATGATATATTTCTCTTTATATATTCAACATAAATCACGGTAATATCTATAAAATAAATAAATTTCAGAGTGCGAGGAATATGTGGAAGAAATTGCGGGCGCAGTCTACGTATCGGCCCTGACCGGTACGTCGAACACACGCAAAGTAATTAATTCCTGCACGGGTACGAATCGCTTGGTGGTCGGTGGTACCATGGCTCGGGTCGGCGAGTTCCCTCACATGGTCGCCCTAGGCACATACAATTCCAATCAAAAGTTTACTCTGATATGCGGCGGCACGCTGATTTCGCATACCTGGGTACTTACCGCTGCGCATTGCAGTTATGGACCAAAGTACTCTTCTGTCATTTTTTTCGATTTAAACTACTTATGAATTGGCAAAAAAATAGTTTTTTTGTTTTTTTACTGTTAGCCATCTTCTTTTATCGAATGCAATGATATATCATGTAAAATTTCGAAATTGGAAAATATTCGTGTTTTTGTTACAGCATAGATTTCGAGAGAATGTTATAGATATTTTAGATACCTATTGTTTTTTAAATTTAAATAAATTTTAATTAATTAATAATTGCGGGTCTAAAAAAATCTATAATATTGATCTTGCAGTTATTTATAAGATAACTAACAAAGTTCTATACAATGCATCTTTTTGTAGGGACGATCCAAAGATAGAGGACGCAAGGATTGGTTTTCACAATTTGACGGATCACGAAGGCGTCAGAGTTGCTGTGAAAGATATAATAACTCATTCGGATTACAATCCACCTGAGATGTATGCGGACATAGCTCTGGTGCAGTTAATGAATGACGTCACGTTCAGTAAATTCATACGACCCGCGTGTCTCTATCAAATATACGATAGTGTTCCAAGACAAGCTTGGGTTAGCGGCTGGGGCGTCACGGAATATAGTACGTAATCCGATAATTCCTCGCGCGAAGTGATAGCTACAGAATCGTAAAATTTGAAGAAAGAATCGTAGAGCTAAATAAATTTGAATATCCAAATATCCAAGAATTCTTCTTTATTAAGAACCCTGCAGAAGATTCCTAACAAATGCGAAGCACCTTTATTATAAGGATTAACGATTTTTATAAGATAGTACCAATTTTAATTAAATTATGTACTTTTTCAGGTGGAGAAGTGAGCGATCAATTATTAAAAGCTCAGCTGAATCTGGTAGACACTCTGGTGTGTTCAATAAAACACAATAGTTCCCTAGAAGTTCCGTACGGTATCACACCGAGTATGATTTGTGCTGGCGATCCTAGCGGCACTAGCGACACTTGCCAAGGAGATTCCGGTGGTCCTTTACAAATATTGTCTTCGAACAAATGCGTATTTCTAGTGATCGGTATTACTAGCTTCGGTCAGGGTTGCGCGATGATTGATATCCCCGGCGTTTATACCAGAGTGTCCCATTATCTTCCATGGATCGAAAATACCGTCTGGCCGAAAGGGCAATAATTGCAATTTATTCGACTTTTAGAAAAGGTAAAAAAACCTTTTATTAAATTGTATTTGACTAAATTAAATCTTACATAATTAGTCATCAGGTAGTTATCAAACAACTAGTCAGTCAAATTAATTGAACACTGAGAAGTTTATGGCATTTGTAAATTTTCTCTACTCATTTTGTAACATAATGTTCATTTACCAAAAATAATTTGTCATTTTCAGAAAAGTCTGCTTGCTCTAATTATTGCCTACCGAGAGAATTAATTAGACGATTAATTATGATAATGTAGTTGAACAGTCTGTAATTCTGACTAGAATATTGGAACGAAGAATAGAGAAATTGCAAGAAGGAATGGAAAAAATATAAAATGTGGGACTAACGTTGATACTTCGAACTTCAGAAATCAAGAGATTTTCGTATCGTGAATAGTCCGCCACGTAAGCCCGTCGCCGTAAGGGCCATGGATTGATGGAAATAAGATATGCCACCAGTTTCTGTAACAATGAACATTATGAATATAATATTAGATAACTTTTTTGATAAAGAGAATATAAAAATAACATTTGACGAAGTGAAATACATTAACGGTACTATATATTAGCTAAAAATATTTAAAAAATATGTTATATATTATAATAAATCAGAATGATTATATTTGATAAAATGTTAATAAATACTTATATGCGAAACAAAATTTGCAGTAGCCAGTATTAATTTCTCATTTGTTTTAAATCAAAATCATAGTAAAAAAAAGCATTGGCGAGATAATTAGTATAATAAACATATTAAAAATAATGCATAAAAGTCTTGGAAATTTTGAATAAGTTTTGGAAAGTTTAATATTTTTAACTTAATTCATTTTTCTTTTCATTTTTCTTTAATTCATTTTTCTGGCGGCAAATCTATGACAGTAATATTATTTTATAGATTTTTTTTTATAAAGATATCAATTGTTTCTCGTCTAATTAATCTTCCAATAATGATTTATTTTATCGGCTGTATTTTAATAAAAAAAAAATTACGGTTTAAGATCTATAAAACTTCTAATACCTGTTTTTTGTTCCTAAAAACAATCTCCAGTTCTCTCTCGGCCCGAAGTCATAAGGATTTTGATAGAACTTATTCTGGGCTCGATACTTTTTGGATTCCGCGCGATTGATGTGCGCCTCGATGCTGGTCTCTCCTCGAGTGATGAGACCCGCGTGCCACCAGGATAGAGCTCCCAGCGCCGCAAATGTAGCGACACAGAGCAGACCCGCGAAAATTATCAGTCTTTGTCGCCATTCTTTGGCCTCGGTTTCTGCTGCCTGTCTTGCTATCTCTGCCAATTCTTCCTTGCTTAAGTGCTCCAGCGATTCCGTCTACATTAATGAAGCAGCATGTTTATCACTTTGCAAAAACGTTAAATAAACGTTTGATAAAATAATCAACATTGAATAAAATATGTTAATCAATTGGCTAACGTACCATTGGAATTATTTCCGAATTATTAAGGCGCACTGGATGGCCATCCAATTCTGGTTCCTGATCGGGGAAGAATTCCTCGTAGGCGAGTCGCACACCGAATACCATGATGAACGTCACGCCAACTACGGTGTAAACCATGTACAGAAAAAAATGCCGATGATTGTAGTGACCGACACAATTGTTTAACCATGCTGCACATTGATTAAGGAAGACATTTATTACAGGATGCTGCAGAAAATTTTCAAAGGCACTAATTAATTTACGATGAAAGATAATAACTGATAAAAAATATGTGGATATATAAAACTGATCCATGAAATATGCAAGGATACGACAATGATGATCCATCTTGAGGATACACTGGTTGCAGACAGAACAGTGATGTGTTCTGGGCGGCTTTGGTTTGATGCACTTCTTGCAGATGCTTACAGCCTCTGGGATAAGACCTCCCTGCGGTGGATTACCCGCCGGCACAGCCACGCCCATATAGTAATGAAAGCAGACATTAACCAGCAGCCAATTTCCAACTATCAATAAGATTATCGTCATCAATGGACTCCGTTCCCACCACCAAGGTAGGCCCACGTAGTATGCAATGTACACAATGCTGACGGTCAGCAGGCCCACCATCACCACGAACACCTGTGGACTGCAACGCTTAGTAAATATATTGTGGATGTCACGAAGCTTGCATTATGTAGAATGAAGTATCATAGAGCATTTTATGGAACATTATTCATACAGTATAATAAACATAATATTGTCATGTCCGAGTATTACTCATGATTGCAATGCACAAACAAATAATTACAAAAAGAGAACAACACTTTTTAGTTAACACAATAAAGTATAATCACAGTGAAAAAAATCTCAAAGAATATCAACTTTCAATCTGTAAAAACATGTCAATCTAAGATTTATTTTTTAATTTGACAGCTTATCATCACAAAGACTACTTTTCAAATATCTAGATAATAAATTATAGAATTAGTTTTTTTTTTAACTCAGCTAAATCAATTAGTTTATTAT